AACCCCCCTTTTTTCTGTTTCTTCTCCTTCTGGCCGTTAAGGACCACTCCTTCGCGTCTTCTGTTTTCCTGTCCCTCTGCCTGGCGTCCCCCACTCCGCTGCCCCTTCCCCGGACTCCTGAGCCTTCTCGCCCTCCCCCGGGCTCACTGTCTGTCCGTCCGCACCCTTTCTCTGTCTCTCCCCTCGCCCCATCTCTCCCCTTCTCCTCTGCAGGGTGGGTGTGTGCAGGCTCCAGATGCCCGGCTCTCTTTTTCTCTCTGCTCCAACTTTTTCTTTCAAGAGAGTCATGAGCCCCTTCTGGCTACTAACCCTGAATGTTTCTTGCACAGCCTGGGGAGAGCACCTACTCTTTGACTCAAAGTGACCAGCACCTCATAAATTTGCTTGTGACAGGGCTGGGGACCTGGACTGTGTTTTCTCCAACCTTATCACCAGGACTGGGAGCTGCTGGTTCGATTTTAACCCTTTCAGAGCTAACCCCTCCTCCAACGCAATAGGACACTCCTGCCTCCTGTCACCCTACCCACCAAAAACAATCATCATCATCATAATGCTAACTATCGTTTTTGAGGCCTATGTGCTTGGCGTTGCGCTAAGCACTTTTCACATAACCTTAAAACCAACNACAATCATCATCATCATAATGCTAACTATCGTTTTTTGAGGCCTAAGTGCTTGGCGTTGCGCTAAGCACTTTTCACATAACCTTAAAACCAACCCAGTGAGTTTCTGTTCAATTAACCCAACTTTTCAGGGGAGGAAAGGAAAGCTCAGAGGGGCTCAATGACTTGCCTATGGCCACACAGCAGGTCAGTGGTCTGTCTGGGTCCAGTGCCTGCCCTCTTAGCCACTACTCAGAGCACACTCTTATCAGAAGGAAAGGAGCCTTGGAGGTCCAGGGGAACATACCCTTGACACTCTCTTCCTGAACAATTGTCCTACCTTATCCTATGTGTGTGGTTTGTTCCTATGAATGTGACTTGTCCCAAAAGTAAAAGAAGGTAAGTGCTGGTGTCTCCTCCAGCTTTCACTCCCAGTGCAATGAGGGACACTTGAAGGTATGTCAGGGGAAGGAAAACACACAGAGAGTGTGGCAGTTGAAGACCCCCGGCCTGGCCATTCTATTGGTGCGGCTCCATGAAACTGGCAGACAATGGGGATCTTGGTGGAAGTTTACAGCCATCCCACTCCAACTGCTCCATTTCACAGATGGGGCCACTGAGGCCTCAGGACTGGGGGTGCCTAGGTTAGGCAGCCCAGCCAGTCAAGGACAGAGCTGGGATGGGCAACAAGGTGTCCCAGTGTGGTCTCCACCATGGCCTTCAAGGCCCTCCTGTTCTTAGTCTTCTCCACTGGCCCATCCCTTTCCCCTTTATCCCCAGAGATCTCAAGTCCTTGCAGTATTTCACAAACATCTCAGGCCTCCCACACCTCTGAGTCTTTCATGTTTTGGCCTCTGTCTGGCCTAGTGGCCTAAATCCCATCCCTCTTCTCCACAGACTCATTCAGGACCCAGCCCTGTCATGCCCCTCCTCCAAGAAGCCTTCCCTGAATCTCAGGCCAGGTCTAGTACCTCTTCTGGGCATTTACAATCCCTTTATCACATCTCTGATCTGATGACACCAGATGGTAACTATGAATGTGTCTGTCCCTCCCTCTAAAGTCTCAACTCTTTCAGGCCAGAGATGAAGTTATGTCTGGGTCCCTGGAGCCCTGCATGTGGCAGACACAGAGCAGATGCAGAATGTTTGTAGAATGAATGAATGAGTGAATGAACTCTCCAGATACAGGAATCTCTCGGCAGGTATATGGAATGCAGGTACTTGGACAAATGTGGTGATCCCAGAAGATTAAGCCTTAGGAAAGTGGGAAGTCACCCCTTACCCTACTACACCTAGTCCTGGAGTCTCCAAAGTTCAGAGGGGGCAGCTTCCATGTGAGCAGGGCTGGAGGGGAGCAGTGTGCATCATGAGTCATACAGAGGCAGGGACTACTCAACAGCTACACATTGCTGCGGGATGTAGCTTCTCACCCGTTCTTGGAGTTCTCCCTACTCCCTCTGTTCCAGCTACCCAGGCCTCCTCATGTTTCTCAAACTCCAGAGCCCAGCTATGCCATGGAGAAGATTTGCTGATCAGTAACATGTGCTCTGAGCAAACACTTCTCCCTGGGATAGCTGGGCTCAAGTTCCTTCTAGCTGTGTTCTGTCCTCTTCAGTAATGGTTCCCCTCTGTTCCAGCTACCCAGGCCTCCTCATGTTTCTCAAACTCCAGAGCCCAGCTATGCCACGGAGAAGATTTGCTGATCAGTAACATGTGCTATGAGCAAACACTTCTCCCTGGGATAGCTGGGCTCAAGTTCCTTCTAGCTGTGTTCTGTCCTCTTCAGTAATGGTTTAAACTCACTGAGAAGGGCAGGGCTTATGGGAGGTATAGAGCTTGTCCACCCACATCCCACTGGCCAGAACTCAGTCACATGTTCACACCTACCTGCATGGGTGGCTGGGAAATGTAGTCCAGCATGTGCTAGACTACACACAGGAGGAAAAGCAAGAGTTTGGTGACATCTGGTCCATCGGACACATTGTACCAATCTCATTTCTTGCCCCAGTGAGGCAGTAGGTCCTGCTCGTGTCTGCTCTGGCCCCTACCAGCTCTTCTTTCTAAGCAGCCAGAGGACCTGGATTTTCTAACAGGTGAAGCCCAAACTTCTCCTCAGAGCCTCAAGGGCTGTATGATGGCCCCTGCGAGGGTGACCAACTGTCCTGGTTTGCCAGGGATTGAGGGGGTTCTTGTGATGCAGTATTATCTCATGTATAGTTTCGTATAACCACCACCACCACAATCAAGACGCTTTACCATCACCACAAGACTCCCCCATGGTACCCCCTTTATGGCTCCACCCTCCCACTCCCTCTCCGGTCTAACCTCCAACAACCACTAATCTGTTCTCCATCTCTATAATTATGTTGTTACACAATATTATATAATGGAATCATGTAGTATGTATCCTTTTGAGATTGGCTTTCTTCACTCAGCATAATTTTCTTGGGATTTATTCCAGTTTTGTATGTATTAGAAGTTGCTTTTTACTGCTTAGTAGTAACCCATGGTTTGGATGTGTTATAGTTTGTTTAGCTGTTAACCCATTGAAGGACATTTGGGCAATTTCCAGTTTGGGGCTGTTAAGAATGAAGCTACTATGTACATTTGTGTGTAAGTCTCTGTATATCCTCTTTGGTGAAATGTCTGCATATATTTTTTGCACATTTTAAATTGGATTTTTTGTTTTACTTCTGTATTTAAAGAATTCTTTATATATTCTGGATAGAAGTCTGTTGTTGGATATGTGATTTGCAAATATTTTCTCCTGGTCCGTAATTTGCCTTTCAATCCTCTTACTAGGGCCTTTCACAGAGCAAAGGCTTTTAATTTTGGTGAGGACCACATTGTCAGTTTTTCCTTTTTATGGATCATGCTTTTGGCTTCAACTCTAAGAACAATTTCTAGTCCCAAGTCTCAATGATTTCCTCCTATTTTTTCCAAAAGTTATATAGCTTTACATTTTACATTTAAGTCCATGATTCATCTTGAATTAAGTTTTGTGTAAGGTTCACTTTTTGCTTGTGAATACACGGTTGTTCCTATATATGATTTGCTGTTAAGGCTATCTTTACATCCCTTGGATTGTTTTACTCCCTTGTCAAAAATTAATTGGGCATATTTGTGTGGGTCTACTTTGGGGTTATTTATTCTGTTCTGGGGACTATGCGTCTTTCTGTCTGCCAATACCACACTGTCTTGATTACTGTAGCTATATAATAAATCTTGAGATCAGGTAGACTACCTCTCCCACTTTATTCTTCTTTGGGAAAAAATATTTTAGCTATCTTAGTTCTTTTTCCTTTCCATATAAATTTTAGAATAATCTTGTTTATGTCTATAAAAGGTCTTGCTGGGAGTTTGATCAGAATTGCACTAAACATGTACATCAATTTGGGGAGAATTGACATCTTTCTTACACTGAGTCTACCCATCCATGAACATGGTATGTCTCTCCATTTATTTAGGTTTTATTTGATTTTTTAAATCAGTGTTCTGTCATTTTCAGCATACTGGTCCTGTATATGTTTTGTTAGTTTTAATATCTAAGTATTTCCTTGTTTTTCTCCTTTAGTAATTGTAAATGACATTATATTTTTAATTTTGCTGTCCATGTGTTTATTGTTAGTATGTAGAAAAAGAATGGATTTTTGTGTGTCAAGCTT